AATTCCTGATATTTAAAAAATTCCCCGTCTTAGGTCAGTTAGGATCACCACTTTATTTTAAGAATGTGAAATGTCAGAATAATAGTAGAGAGTGATTTATTTAAGCTTTTATTTCTTACTTCACATTCCCAGTGGGTCAGAAGTGTACATACACTCAATTAGTATTTGATAGCATTGCCTTTAAATTGTTTAACCTGGGTCAAACGTTTCGGGTAGCCTTCCACAAGCTTCCCACAATAAGTTGGTTGAAGTTCGGCCCATTCCTCCTGACAGAGCTGGTGTAACTAAGTCAGGTTTGTAGGCCTCCTTGCTCGCACACGCTTTTTCAGTTCTTCCCACAAATTTTCTATAGGATTGAGGTCAGGGCTTTGTGATGGCCTTTAACTTCCTGACTGATGTCTTGAGATGTTGCTTCAATATATCCACATCATTTTCCTTCCTCATGATGCCATCTATTTTGTGAAGTGCACCAGTTCCTCCTGCAGCAAAGCACCCCCACAGCATGATGCTGCAACCACTGTGCTTCACGGTTGGGATGGTGTTCTTCGGCTTGCAAGCGACCCCCTTTTTCCTCCAAACATAACGATGGTCATTATGGCCAAACAGTTCTATTTTTGTTTCATCAGACCAGAGGACATTTCTCCAAAAAGTACGATATTTGTCCCCATGTGCAGTTGCAAACCGTAGTCTGGCTTTTTTATGGCGGTTTTGGAGCAGTGGTTTCTATCCTTGCTGAGCAGCTTTTCAGGTTATGTTGATATAGGACTCGTTTTACTGTGGATATAGATAATTTTGTACCTGTTTCCTCCAGCATCTTCACAAGGTCCTTTGCTGTTGTTCTGGGATTGATTTGCACTTTTCGCACCAAAGTTCGTTCATCTCTAGGAGACAGAACGTGTCTCCTTCCTGAGCGGTATGATGGCTGCGTGGTCCCATGGTGTTTATACTTGCGTACTATTGTTTGTACAGATGAACGTGGTACCTTCAGGCGTTTGGAAATTGCTCCCATGGATGAACCAGACTTGTGGAGGTCTACAAATTTTTTTTCTGAGGTCTTGGCTGATTTCTTTGGATTTTCCCATGATGTCAAGCAAAGAGGCACTGAGTTTGAAGGTAGGCCTTGAAATACATCCACAGGTACACCTCCAATTGACTCAAATTATGTCAATTAGCCTATCAGAACCTTCTAAAGCCATGACATCATTTTCTGGAATTTTCCAAGCTGTTTAAAGGCACAGTCAACTTAGTGTATGTCAACTTCTGACCCCCTGGAATTGTGATACAGTGAATTATAAGTGAAATAATCTGTCTGTAAACAATTGTTGGAAAAATTACTTGTGTCATGCACAAAGTAGATGTCCTAACCGACTTGCCAAAACTAAAGTTTAACAATACATTTGTGGAGTGGTTGAAAAACAAGTTTTAATGACTCAAACGTAAGTGTATGTAAACATCCGACTTCAACTGTACCTATGAGCAATTTCTATATAATTGCTTATTACTCATTACCATGTGAAAATACCTACAAACAAAAGCTGAGCTTCTACTTTAGTCAACTTTATTGCAACATGTAAAAAGACCTTACATTCATAAAATAAGGATTTTTATTGTTAGATTAATTACATTAAACAAAGATATATACATTCGTAAAGTATTCAGACCCCTTCACTTTTTCCACATTTTGTTATGTTACAGCCTTATTCTAAAATGGATTAAATTGTTTTTTCCCCTCATCAATCTACACACAATACTCCATTATGACAGAGCAAAAACTGGTTTTTAGAAATTTTAGCAAATTTATTAAAAATAACAAACTGAAATATCACATTTACATAAGTATTCAGACCCTTTACTCAGTACTTTTTTGAAGCACCTTTGGCAGCAATTACAGCCTCGAGTCTTGGGTATGATGCTACAAGCTTGGCACCCCTGTATTTGGGGAGTTTCTCCCGTTCTTCTCTGCCGATCCTCTCAAGCTTTGTCAGGTTGGATGGGGAGCGTCGCTGCACAGCTATTTTCAGGTCTCTCCAGAGATGTTAGATCGGGTTCAAGTCCGGGCTCTGGCTGGGCCTCTCAAGGACATTCAGAGACTTGTCCCGAAGCCACTCCTGCGTTGTCTTGGCTGTGTGCTTAGGGTTGTTGTCCTGTTGGAAGGTGAACCTTTGTCCCAGTCTGAGGTCCTGTGTGCTCTGGAGCAGGTTTTCATCAAGGATCTCTCTGTACATTGCTCCATTCATCTTTCCCTCGATCCTGACTAGTCTCCCAGTCCCTGCCGCTGAAAAACATCCCCACAGCATGATGCTGCCACCACCATGCTTCACTGTAGGGATGGTATTGGCCAGGTGATGAGAGGTGCCTGGTTTCCTCCAGACGTGACGCTTGGCATTCAGGACAAAGAGTTCATTCTTGGTTTCATCAGACCAAAGAATCTTGTTTCTCATTGTCTGAGTCCTTTTAGGTGCCTTTTGACAAACTCCAAGTGGGCTGTCATGTGCCTTTTACTGAGTAGTGGCCTCCGTCTGGCCACTCTATCATAAAAGGCATGATTGGTGGAGTGCTGCAGAGATGGTTGTCCTTCTGGAAGGTTCTCCCATCTCCACATAGGAACTCTGGAGCTCTGTCAGAGTGACCATTGGGTTCTTGGTCACCTCCCTGACCAAGGCCCTTCTCTCCGGATTGCTCAGTTTGGCCGGGCTGCCAGCTCTAGGAAGAGTCTTGGTGGTTCCAAACTTCTTCCATTTAAGAATGATGGAGGCCACTGTGTTCTTGGGGACCTTCAATGCTGCAGTAATTTTTTGGTACCCGTTCCCCAGGTCTGTGCCTTGACACAATCCTGTCTCTGATCTCTAAGGACAATTCCCTCGACCTCATGGCTTGGTTTTTGCTCTGACATGCACTGTCAACTGTGGGACCTTATCTGTAGGGGCTAGTGTGTGGTGTGACCCAGTTGCGGTGCAGGATAGACAGTAGGCAGTAGGCAGAGATGGTGAAACAAGGATCTTTACTGGTGGTCCCGAAGCCAGGATACAAAACAATGGACTTAACACGATAAAAGAAAGGTGGAGCAAATAAGTCTCCAAAAACAGGCTGACAGCCAAAATACGAAATAGTAACTACGACTGAAATAATAAAGAAACCGGGAGAACACTTCTCGAGTACCTGTACATACTTCTCCGATCAGACACTGATTTAACTAGCAGAGAAATGAGCAAGGGAACACAGGGAAGTGAGGGCATAAATACACAGGTGAACAGATAGACACAGGTGACACCAATAGGATAATGATTAGTCCAGACTGTGAGGAAGGAGGTGCCTAAGGTTATCGGAGGATGACACCTAGTGGGTCGCTCCGGAACTGCGACCCCCTCCTGCAACACTTCTATAGACAGGTGTGCCTTTTCAAATCATGTCCAATCAATTGAATTTACCACAGGTGGACTCCAAGTTGTAGAAACATCTCAAGGATGATCAACGGAAACAGGATGCACCTGAGCTCAATTTCGTGTCTCATAGCAAAGGGTCTGAATACTTATGTAAATAAGGTATTTGTTTTTTATTTTCAATACATTTGCAAACATTTCTAAACCTATTTTCGCTTTGTCATTATGGGGTATTGTGTGTAGAATGATGTGGATAAAAAAGTAATCAATTTTAGAATAAGGCTGTAACGTAACAAAATGTGGAAAAAGTGAAGGGGTCTGAATACTTTCTGAATGCACTGTAGGCCTACTCAATAACATAAAAATAACAATTCTAGTGGTGACTCAAATCTGTAGCCCATAATATGGTGAGTAGCCTAGATAGCTAGCTAATTTAGAAAAATGGGATTGTCTTTTTCTTCCCTTTTTAACATTTACAAGTAACGATGGAAATCGACAACTTTCTCTGACTCTGTCTTCATCCGTTTCTTTCTTGTAAGCATTTCCCCATCCTGGAATCAGAGACCTTGTGGAAATCTGTGGTGGAGAAGAAGAATGTATGACAATTTAGCATAGACACTACATATTCCCCTAGTTATCGTCATCCTGATTTCTATAGTTTGGGCATATAGCTAGCAAGGCCTAACTAGCTACCTAGCTAGTTGTTGTGTTATCAATAATAGTGCTTGTGTTGACACAAGTAGCTAGCTAACGTTAACATGCTGGGTGTGTCTCTCGTAGTACCCTTGGGGTATGGATACCCTGAGAAAAATGTTCAGGGAAGATAAGGCCATCGAGCCTAGCTAACGTTAGTTAGCTAGCAATTAGCGACCATAGCATATTTTCCAGCTGTAGGTAGCTAGCTAGTCAAGGTTAGAAAACTAACTAGCTAGTGCTAGCTAATCCCCAAAATCTCAACAGATTGCATGGAAAGTCTATTCTGTAGATGATGACTAGCTAGCTAGCCTAATTGGTAGGCCCAACAAATGCCAGCTAACATTTGCTTGCTAACTACCTATGCAACAAAAAAAAAGGTTAATTAGCCCAATTTTCAAATGCACCATTAAATTGTTAAATCATTAACTTTTTTTTTTATGTGAATGTTTTTGAACTTGTTTTTGCCATTGGGCTTGAGCATCAGACTCCAGATCTTTCTTGCAGAGTTGTGTCAATGAGGTGGTCGGTTTTCAATTGGCCAAACACTTATCACGTGGTTTGTGCAGGCTGAAATATGTTGCGTTGGGATGCTATCGGAAACTTTAACATTTGTAACAAGCATGGTAACAAGCATTCATTGTTACACTCCTGTAATTATCGACTGCAATTACCACCTGTTACATGTTATGATAGTAACTATGAATTATTACAATTACAATACTTGTTAGTGTAATTACATATGTAATTACACTGTAATAAGGACTGCTTAAAATGAAGTGTTACCCATGTCCCCAATTTAGCTGCCACTACAACTCATTCCGCAAACATGCATTCCACCCATAATGCTATAATATATAAAAAAATCTGGATAATGAGTTTCAATTGCCTGTATTTTCAATTAAATATGCGCTCTCGCCATACCAGGGGGTTTCGCAGTTACCTGACGAGGAGGAGAGCAGACCTGACATAGTCTTGATCAAGGAGGAGAAGCTGGGCGTGGACTTGGATAGTAGTAATGACACACAGGATGTACTGCTATTCAGTGAGGAGGGTAAGTGAAAAGCGTATGAATTATTAGGCTTTTGGAATTGTATACTATGTCTGTTGTTATGTCAACTGCTTTTCCCTCCCTGATGTCAAGTGGTAAAGTAATCTTGAATCATACTTCTAAAATGATAACACAAAAAATGAAGTTTACACAATCTCTCCCCCATTACTGGCAAAAATGTGTATATAAATATATTGCTCTTCACATCAACGTTGACAATGATTTGTGGTTAATCTGCATCACCCAGAGATTAGTTGTAAATTGGCTGAGTTACAACCCCATTCTAAATGTTTTGGAGACATAGGAAAAAACGTTATAATCTACATAATTTTTGCCTGTGTAGGGCAATATGTACCCCCACCCTCTTGCCAGGCACATGTCCTACCTCTCCCCCGTACAAAATAATAATCTGTCCCCCCCCCCCACTTGCGTCAAGGACAAACACGGGTTTATCTCTGTTTATTGACATCCCTATTTCTGAAATCTCGCCCTTAAGGTACTGAGGTGTCAACTGTCAAAGTGAATTACAGTGAAGAAGGGCCATCCAGAATGACCTACTCCACCATGACGACAAGGCAGAGGGAATGGAACAGAAGTGGAGAGGATAGCGGCCACCAATCCGAGCAGGGGAACGAGAGCTCTCAAAGGACCCGCCAGTGCTCACGCACTAAATTCACAGCTGGAAGACGGAACCCCCTGAGCCTTGACTACACGCTGCATAAGACACCCAGCGAGCCTGGTTCCTCCAGTCCACTGGGGGGCGATGATGAAATGGAGACAGTGGAACCCGTTTATGATAATCCTTCCGAAACAGATGCCGACGTCCCCTCTACTCACTTGACACAGAAACAGTTTCCCTTTGCACCAGACAGTAGTCCGAATACTCTCGCGGGGAATTTCGAAATGAAAAGAGGAGTTTCCATGGTCAGCTCTCTACCGTACAACGTGGAACTGGATATGTGTTCTTCCTGGAGCAACCAGAGCATGCCGGGAATGGTTTCCATGCAGGACGGGCAATACCTGAAACCGGACCTCAGGGAATTGGTGCTCGACAAGGTTGCAGACTTGAGCTCTGTCCACTATCAAATGACTGCTGCCGGACTTCACGCCGCAGCCAAGTACGACAGCAGGGAAAACAAACATTTTATTTGCACCTTCTGCAGCAAGGGTTTCACATCGTCGCGAAGTCTGGTGACACACCTGCGGGTTCACACGGGAGAGAGACCGTACAGCTGCGCCCAGTGTGGGAAGAGGTTCACCCAGTCTGGCCATCTGAAAACGCACCAGAGCGTACACACCGGAGAGCGGCCGTTTGCATGCGAGCACTGTGGTAAAAGATTTGCAGGGAAACAAAATTTGAGGTTACACCAACAGAAACACCACCCTAATCTGTGAGGTATACGGCTAGTTGAGGTCCATGAACATGGTTAACATTTTTAGAAGCATTAGACCAGAACCTTGATACTGTTTGACGTCTACGTTTGAACATTGTTCATGAAGAATAGGCTATTTTGTATTTCACACTGATGATTTGTTTCCATTGATGAACTCTGAATGATGGAGGTGAGAAACATGGACTAACATTGCGATGCTGATTTTAACTTTTGTTCAATTGCCTTTGAAGTGGTACAATTGAGAATATTTAACCTAATGAAACAAAGCTATTTGAAGACACATAATTACCTATAGAGTGAGCATTTTGAAAAAGGAACAGTCATTCCATATAAGGTGTTACTATAATGGTCCCACTTTAAACGAACCACAACTTATAAAGGCTTTATATAGCATACATAACGTCCTCATAAGCACTAGAGTGCAATGCCAAATGTGACATATCTCTCTGTCAATTCTCAAAAAAGCTGTGCTTTATAAAGGGTCATAATTATACATAAAAGTACAACGTTATTAGTGTGGTTGCTGAAGAAAACTCATGTCAGGCCAGAACTGAAACTGTCTTGAGAAAATATGTTCTCCCAGTAAACTCCCCTGTTATAATAAAGACAGCAGGAAAGTTTTTATGTACTAATTTATCTATTACCTGTTTACTGAGACCATGTGTTATTGGCTCAGCTTACCCATACATGCTGTAGGCCTGACATGACATTTACACCTCCATGGACAGAACATGCTCTAGGCTAGGTATGGCTGTTGCACGTCACATTTTGCAATGTACCATAAATCATTATGTCAATCCCAAGGGAAAAAAAAACCTTACAAAGGGTTACATAGTGCAATGCTGATGGTGACATTACACATGACATTGGTTGTCTTGAGGAAAGCCCCCAAGTAGGGCAAGTAATGTCACCATTTATGGGTCTTTTTGTCAAAAAAGTAGGCCATTACCATTTTAATAATAATATTTTTTTTGGCCTTTCCAATGAATTGATATTGAAATTATTATGTTCTGAAATATGTGAGAATAATGTGGACATTGCCTGACTAAATAGATTGGATGCATGCATGGAGATTTTTCTGTAGCCATTGTGGCCGACACAGGGACACGTAATAAATCCATGAATAAAGGTAGCATTAATCTCACCATCACTGTTTTTATAATGAGAACGTGACCAAAAACCAGGTTCCTTTTTGAATGGAAGGATTTGTATGTAAAGCCAAGTTGTATCCAACGGATGTCGTCCTCATAATAACTGCACGTGGTTTTACTGCAACACTCTACAATTGAAGCGGTGGGAAACAAACAAAAGTGGCCACATCTCTCAAAAAAGGAATTCGCAGATACTTCTAAATTGGCTACTTTGGTACAAGAACCAAATTGAGGAAATGTCAGATTTTGTAGGTAGGGCTATTCCAGTACTTTAATTTCTGAGCTCCAAATTCAAGTTCAAGTAGACCTCTTCAAGTAGGGCTGGGTGGTATACCGTATTTTACTATATACCGGTATTGATGCACGGACCAGTTGGGGTTTTTACTTTACCTTCTATAACGGTATGTAAATGTTTTGTTTGTTAAATGTGACACCGCTACTTGAGTCATCCCTCTCCACTTTCTCCATGCTGCTTTCCACACAGACCTAGCCCCGCCCCTGTCACTCAAGGAGCGCATTTGTTGTTGCTTGACCACGAGATACTTGCGTTCAGTTGGCATGGTCAATGCAGCACATGCAACAATGTTGATAACTTTGCTTCTGAATATAAATCCACAAGCATTCTATAATTACACTATTAGTTTATGTTTCTTACATCTGCAAACAGCTAGTTTGTCTTTTCTTAACAAGTTTTAGCCACTAATGCTAATCACAAGTTAGCTAGCTAGCTAATAAATGTACTGAGTCAGAGCAAATGTAGCTAGCTATACAGCCTGATACCAGTGATGGTGTAGGCCTAAATCAGCATGTTGTATGTGCAACAGTATCTTCTAAATCAAAGCGGAATAGGCAAAGCATGAATATGTTGGCTACATGAAGAAACATTTAATGTAGCCAAACATAATAGGGTCTCCTAGAAAATACTGATCTACCCTGTCACAATAACTCCTCCCTGGCATTTTCATTTGTGGTCATATCAAACAGCACTGTATTCAAAGTGCCCACTATTATTTATATTTGAACTATAGAATTAGAATCAACCTTTTTTTCCCCCATGATTCCAACAGTTCACCCAAGTGTTTTGATGTAAATTGCAAGTCAAATCGCAATTGCAACATTTGGTAAAAAGAAAAGGCCTAGATTATTTTTCCCATATCATGCAGCCCTACGTGGCAGTGTGGAAATTATCTCAAATGAGTGCAGGAAATGTAGAAATTGGTTAAAATGCAGGAAATTATTGAAGTTGAATTGAACAGTATAAAACTCAGAATGGAGAAAGACCCATTTGAAATCACTTAGAATGTATGTGTTGCCACCCTAGGGTCACACACTACTCATAAAGCAAATTTAGAACCTTTATTGTTCAAAATACATACCGTGATATATTTTGGCCATATTGCCCAGCCCTAACTGCAAGCCCCTTGTATTGTTTAAAAATGCAGGTGTAACATGGAAACAAAATGTATTTGTCATGTTATTTCATTACATTTTACATTTTTACATTTTAGGTAATACTGTGAATTTGTCATAATATCCAGAATAATTCATAGGAATAGTGTTGGGTATTGTGCAATATTCTATCTAAAAAATTGGCAGATTATTATCAACAGCTGTAACAAGTTGTCCAGTGTAGGAAATGCTCACTGTGACCCTAGTTTATAGAAAGACCCTTCCTTATGCAGTAGGAATATGACATTAGCTTATACATGATTTGTGAAGCATCTATGGTGTTCTTATCAAGACTATGTACGCTATATAAAGCCTTTATAGATTGTAGTTTGTTTAAAGTGGGAGCCATATACACTGAATATACAAAACATTAAGAACACCTGCTCTTTCCATGACCAACTGACCAGGTGAATCCAGGTGAAAGTTATGATCCCTTATTGATGTCACTTGTTAAATCCACTTCAATCAGTGTAGATGAAGGGGAGGAAGACAGGTTAAAGAAGGATTTTTAAGCCTTGCGACATGGATTGTGTATGTGTGCCATTCAGAGGGTGAATAGGCAAGACAAAAGATTTAAGTGCCTTTGAACGGGGTATGGTAGTAGATTCCAGGCGCACCGGTTTGTGTCAAGAACTGCAACGCTGCTCGGTTTTTCACGCTAAACTGTTTCCTGTGTGTATCAAGAATGATCCACCACCCAAAGGACATCCAGCCAACTTGACAAACTGTGGGAAGCATTGGAGTAAACACTGGCCAACATCCCTGTGAACGCTTTCGACACTTTGTAGAGAGTCCATGCCCCGATGAATTGAGGCTGTTCTGATGGCAAAAGGGGTGGTGCAACTTAATATTAGGAAGGTGTTCCTAATATTTTGTATACTCAGTGTAATTAGCATGTGAATGTCAATAGTTGCCGTATGGGTTTGGCAGTGTTAACATTAAAAGTGAATAGCTTCTTTCTTTCTTTCTTTTTATTTCACCTTTATTTAACCAGGTAAGCCAGTTGAGAACAAGTTCTCATTTACAACTGCGACCTGGCCAAGATAAAGCAAAGCAGTGTGATTTAAAAACAACAACAACACAGAGTTCCATATGGAATAAAGAAAAACGTACAGTCAATAACACAAAAGAAAATAGAAAATCTATATACAGTGTGTGCAAATGTTATGGAGGTAAGGCAATAAATAGGCCATAGTGCAAAATAATTACAATTTAGTATTAACACTGGAGTGATAGATGTGCAGAAGATGATGTGCAAATAGAGATACTGGGGTGCAAATTAGCAAAATAAATAACAATGTAAATAACAATATAGGGATGAGGAAGTTGGGTGGGCTAATTACAGATGGGCTGTGTACAGGTGCAGTGATCGGTAAGCTGCTCTGACAACTGATGCTTAAAGTTAATGAGGGAAATAACTGGAAGGATGGCGGCCAAAGGAGGTGTTGGCTTTGGGGATGACCAGTGAGATATACCTGCTGGAGCGCATACTACGGGTGGGTGTTGCTATGGTGACCAATGAGCTAAGATAAGGCGGGGATTTGCCTAGAAGTGATTTATAGATGACCTAGAGCCAGTGGGTTTGGCGACTAATATGTAGTGAGGGCCAGCCAACGAGAGCGTATAGGTCACAATGGTGGGTAGTATATGGGGCTTTGGTGACAAAACGGATGGCACTGTGATAGACTACATCCAATTTGCTGAGTTGAGTGTTGGAAGCTATTTTGTAAATGACATCGCCGAAGTCAAGGATCGGTAGGATTGTCAGTTTTACGAGGGCATGTTTAGCAGCATGAGAGAAGGAGGCTTTGTTGCGAAACAGGAAGCCGATTCTAGATTTAACTTTGGATTGGAGATGCTTAATGTGAGTCTAGAAGGAGAGTTTACAGACTAACCAGATACCTAGGTATTTGTAGTTGTCCACATTCTAAATCAGACCCACCGAGAGTAGTGATTGTAGTCGGGTGGGCGGGTGCCAGCAGCGTTCGATTGAAGAGCATGCATTTAGTTTTACTAGCGTTTAAGAGCAGTTGGAGGCCACGGAAGGAGTGTTGTATGGCATTGAAGCTCGTTTGGAGGTTTGTTAACACAGTGTCCAATGAAGGGCCATCATTGATATACACAGAGAATAGTCGGCCCAAGAATTGAACCCTTTGGCACCCCCATAGAGACTGCCAGAGGTCCAGACAACAGGCCCTCCGATTTGACACATTGAACTCTATCTGAAAAGTAGTTGGTGAACCAGGCGAGGCAGTCAGTTGAGAAAGCAAGGCTATTTAGTCTGCCAACATGTCTGAAATTAATGAGTCAGAACAGTGTTTTTTTTTCGTTCTTCATATGCAATCTAAAAATAGTCAGGAATAAGTCAATTCTAGCTCACCATCAGATAATTGATGAGAACTTGTGCGTTGAAATATTTATAGTATTCATGAATATC